CCACATGCCTTTAATGGATAATTATTCCACAAGTGTCTCTATTGACTTCCAAATTAATCAAAAAAGTGATGAGGCAAAAGAAAACCAATAAGGGCATTCAATCATTTCTTATAAGGATTAAGTTTTTAACAAAATTCAACCTTCTCGCTAACAGTGCAGCCCCAACATTTGTTAAGGTTGGACTTCGGCTTAAGACTTAACAAATTTGACACAGATAGTCTTAGAATTAAAAAGAGCTTGAAAGTCGACAAGAAGGAGCATATAAAAGAAACAAAAGGTAATAGCCCAAGAAAAGATACAGAGATAGTCGATTCCACGTCCAAAAGTGAGATAATTATTGTAAATCCACATAACGGTCTGTTGAAAGATAAACAAGGCTCATTTTCTAGCCTTGACGATACATATAGGGTCAACAAGGAGGAAGAGAACGGAGTGCATATAGCTTAGACAAATGTTTCCATATATCACTCATTATCAATATCTTGAGCTTAAACTTTAACTAATGATCTGAATTCTAAAGTAGTTAGGCTAGTGGTTTCCTGGTATAGGACGTTGACAATGGTATTAGACTACGTGCCTACAATGACCTCAACCTGGAACAATCTTAGACCTTATACGTTTTTTGCATTATACCTTATGATTGTAATATGTGGCATTAGTGAAGATATTAAGAATTTGAATAGTCGATATTGTGATATTTCAATCTCATATCAGAAAGATATATGATTATTGAGATTATATAAGAGACCAAGTCACATATAGTAGATTATTGTGCTTTTCATGGTTATGTCAATTAGTTAAAAAAGAAAATCCTAAATCTCCCAAACTGTCTCTAATCTCTCTTTCTCCTTACTTTGAAGTGTCTCTTAATTTAAAAAATATATCTTGAAATCTTAATAAAAATAACCTTTTGAGTTAAAGAAAATCTCTTGATTTTTTAGTAAAGTGAATCCATTCATGATCTTATAGATCTGTCAATGATTTTGTGAGTCCATCCATAATTTCTTTATGTATTTAATATGCCTCTTTTGAAAAGATATGACCGAATTCTCTTGGAACAAGTTGTTGGCCACCTCTCCTTGCAATTTAATAAGTTTGATTTCCATCTTCCAAGACCTTCCAATTTCAGCCGAGGGCCTTCCTCTTCATGGATCCATTGCTTGACATAGACTTGAACATCTCTTTTAAGCTTCTTGGTCCAAGATATAGTGATACTCATCCATATAGCCCAAATACATTTTGAAGTGGATCCATCATATGCTTCTCTCCATATGGACTTGGTTTACTTTGATTTTGATCTTTTATTCTACTTAAATGGACTAAGCAGTGAGACTCCTTCCTTGGATGTACCTTTCCGTGTCTTCATGCTTTATAAAGCCTAAACCGTGGCCTCCAAAACTTGAAGGGTTCAAGTTGTGATCTCCTTGACTTGGTTGGTTTCTTGAATAGTCCAAGTCATCTGTGCTTACTTCATTGTCTTTCTAACATTTTCCTGCAGACTATTTTCTTACAATGTCTCAGTCTAGTGAAAACAATGTTCCAACTGATCTGAAATTCTTCACGGAGACCGTGCACAAAGAACTTTCAAAGCTTAGGAAAGTAGTTGGAGATCTAATGACTGAGTTGGATAAAGTAAAGCACGGAACTCCAAATGCACAAAGGCCTAGAAATCGAATCCAAGAGGAGAAGGTTGGGTGTTGTAATAATGGTAACTTAGAGGAGATCCAAGTGATCAAAGGGAAGAACAAAAAGGCAGCAACTTGAGCTCAATAAAGATGAAGACTCCACCTTTCAAGGGAATGAATGATGTTGAAGCATACTTGGAGTGGAAATTAAAGGTAGAACTTGTCTTTGATTACCATGATTACAATGAGGAAAAGAAAGTTAAGCTTGTGTGCGATTGAATTCACTGATTATGCTCTAGCTTGGTGGGATCAACTAATATTCAGTAAAAAGCCTATCTCAACCTGAAAAGACATAAAAACTATCATGAAAAAGAAGTTTTTCCATTCTTACTATTACCATGAAATGCACCAAAAGATTCAGCGTTTAACGTAGGGATCTATATCCATGGAGGACTATCATAAAGAGATGAAGATTGCCATAAAACGTGCAAATATAAAAGAAGATCTTGATGCTACTATGGCAAGATTTTTGAGTGGGTTAAATCGAAAAATTGTCAATCTAGTTGAATTGCAACACTATGTTGAGGTAGAAGGAATGGTACATATGGTCATGAAGATGGAGAAGCAGTTAAAACATTAAGAGGCAGCAAGGGATTTTCAAATTCCCTCCCTAATCATAATCCAAGATGGCCAATTAAGGATGAGAAGTCCAAAGGCAAACGGACTGAATTGAAGCAGGCCGACATTTAAGGTAATTCTAAAACACCTACTTCTAATCAAAAGCATAGCAGCATCAAATGCTTCAGGTGTTTAGGTACTGAATACATTGCATCACAATGTCCTAATCAGAAGATCATGATAATGAAAGATAATAGCGACACTGATAGTGCAAGTGAATGTGATAGTTGCAGTAATAACATGTCACCATTCGAGAATGTTAAGGAAAATGTTGAATACCCAACTAAAGGGGAAACTTTAGTTATTATGAGAATTCTGAATGTTCAGGTCAAGCAAGAAGATAGTAACTAAAGAGAAAATATCTTCAACACCTGTTGTTTGTGAATGAAAAGGTATATAATATGATCATAGATGGAGATAGTTGCACCAGTGTTGCTAATACTATCTAAATTAATAAACTTGGGTTGACTTGTACATGTCATCCTAATTCCTACAAGTTGCAGTAGTTAAATGAATGTGGGAAAGTAAAAATGACTAAGATGGGGTAATATACCGATGAATTTCATTGTAACATTGTACCCGTGCATACTGCTCACATACTACTGGGAAGACCCTATCAATATGATAAGCATGTAACTCATGACAGTTTTAGGAATCACTATTCCTTTAACATGAATTTTCAGGACTTTACTCTTGCACTGCTATCACCCAAAGAGGTGTTAAAAAATCAATGAAAGATCAATTAATTTGGGCCACATTGGAGGAGTATCCTAATGTCTAGTGGATCTATCACCTTGTCATGGGCCAAGACACTTAAGGAAGCCTTCTAAAGTTGTGCTTAATAATGGATTAATGAAGGAGGAAAGCTTAGACCAGATCTAGAAGCCCACAAATGAAGACAATCTAGCCCATTTGGCCAAGGGAGAGCCAGCCATGTCAAGTCCTACAAAATATGACCACATGCTCGGGAGAAATTCTCTCATCTTAGAGAATTTTTCTCTTGCAGATGGGATGTTCTTTCCTCCTTCATCTCTTCTTCATCCACGAGTACAAGAGTCCATATACACTCAGGACTCTCAAGGAGTCAAGCAAAACAAAACGCTCACATCTCACTCAAGAGTCCTAGCCAAATCCAACTCCTTAGTATGCATATTAAACATGTGTTTATCTCATTTAACATATGGAGGATCGAGGAAGCTTTTCATCACCCTCTTGGCCGATTCTCCTATATTTCTCAAGAAAGAAGAGTTCTTTTCTTCATTAACTTGGTTGGATCCTACTTCATCTTCAACATTGAGAATTACTTAAATAAAGGAGTCCAAAACCGAGCATGATATTCCAAGATAAAGCTTACCACAATCCTTGAATACTAAAGCTATCATTCCAAAGAGAAGACCTATGTAATTTTATACTTCTTTATTTTATTATTTTCTATAAAAGTTTTAGATAGAACGTCAAGATATGTTTCCTACATTTTAGACTTTCATTCCTATTGTAATTCTCTAGACCTACTACTATATAAAAGCCTCACTATTTGGTTGTATTCATTCAAGTTCAAGTTCAATAAAATAAAAAATTTTGGCTTTGGTAGCTTTTAGTTATTGTGTGCTCTTTGGGAACATTTTTTTCAACCTTCTTGTTGAGCGATAATTGATTCTACTTATCAAGGTAACTCTTGTAACGTTTTATCATTTTTTATTTATTTTTCTAATTATTTTAATTTTCAATCACAAGTTGATTGCGAATTAAGTAGAGATGGTTTATTTAGGAATTTAGTTTTGAATGCTAAATTGAAAGTGTGGTTGGATTACATTGTTGATCTTGAATTCCGCATCAAAATATGTTATTTTTTTGGCACCAAATAAATGAAGATAGAATTCATGCGTTTGTCAATAATCTAGTTACGGACAATTTCCAAATGCCTTCATCGAATGTTTTTTATCACAATCCAACCCTAACAATTCTTTTTGGGGGAGAAAGGGTGACAGAAATATTCATCGAGTGCAAGAACCTTATCCAAGTAGGGGATCAAACAGCTTTTCTTAATCTTCCTCATTAAAGGTCTCCCTTACTAACAACCTATGTCCATTTTAATTGGACT